TGAATTCAAATAAATTTATGACCTGAAGGCCTTTCCAGATTCCTAAATCCTATTTCCTCTCCAATTCTTAGAGGAAGGGATATGGCAGGGATTTAAACTCTTAATCTAGGTACCCTTCACACATAAACTGTCCTGCAAAGATCAAGAACAAAGGGCAAGATGAAGGGCAGGGGTCTGGGCAGGGAGCCAAGCTTGAGGAACAGTTAACTATGGGAAGGAGAGAAAAATTACATGTTCACGACATGTGTCTGAGAGCTCAAGCACACTCATACACACACCCCTTTCTAAGTGATCTCTACAAAGCCGGAATACAAATGTGCCAGGCTTCATCATGATGGCTCAGAGCAGACAGTAGCAGCAATGGGCACACACAGTCCACGAGCAGCCTTCTGTGGATTTGGGGCTGTTTGGGCACAGCTCTGTTTCTATAGGCACACGTCAAGGTGCATGCCTCTCCACAAGGGGAAGCAGTGGGACCAGAGGGGACCCGCTGCCATCTCCAGTCAAACCCAGCCCAGGATGGTAGATCACTAACACCAGTCCAGCCTCCCCTGATCCTGCCCCTGAGCGCTTGGATAGGAGGGGAAAAAGAGAAGCAGCTGGGAAGAAGTTAAAGTCATGCAAGCGAGGGTGACATTCCACATGTGGAATGTCCTTCAAAGCCAACCTGGCACACGTCAGTCAGGCTCAGAGCACTGGGGCACCGTTAGGTGTGCTAGCACCCCCTGAGAGTCAGGCTGGAAGACACACAGCCTCCTTTAGCTGGATGCCTGCCATCTATTGACCCTGTGACCCTTAGGGCCATGTCAGCCACTGCTTGGGGGACAAGGACTGCAAGTTGGCACAACCTGGAGGCCATGCTGGGAGAGATTCTAAAAATAGAGACGGAGACAGGAACCTCAGGGAAATGAATGTGACTCACTCCTTACTTGGAACACGTACTATGGAGCAACCAGTGTTTTTGCTTTTTGGTTTTTGGGGGGGTTTTGACTCTACACATTAAAAAAGGGTTGGATTTTGGAAATTCTGCCTTTCTCTGAAACTGGCTTAATAAACAGAGAAGTTCAGGCAGAAAAATGTAAGCAGAAGTTGTTAATGTTCTTATCTTTCTTTCTTAAAGGGCAATAAACAAATTGCAGAAAACTCCTGGTGACCCTAAACTTTCACTTGCCATTTATCACAATATCAGCCTGAGGGCCTCTTGTAATTCTGGGCACTCAGAGGAAAGATACTCCCAGAGAACTGCCAGAACTCATCTTCCAAGCACAGTCCCGTATCTTCACATCTGTCATTCTTCACACGTAACCCTTCCGAGGCTGAGAACTTCTGTCTGGCACTCACAAACGAGGAAGGCCAAGCCCACCTTCTGAAGTTCACCTATAAGAATCAGCATCAAGACCCCAAAAGTGGCACCTCCAAAAAACCCCTGGGCCATGGCACAGCCAGGCAAAACCACCCAGAAGAAACTGATAACCTCTCAACATGGTTTGCTTCCCGCATACTACCTCAGAGAAAACCCCAAGTGATTGTCTATCTCTCACCTTCTGCAGCCTTCAACTGCTATCCAACACTGTTTTCAGAGCTAACCAGGCAGTCTGGCTCCTCCTGTCTCCAGGTATCACTCCATCACATCAATAAAACACGTAGGAGTGCATGTGCGCACTGCCCCAGCACACATCCCCTCCCCATCTCTCCTCGAGGACCAGAGGAGAGGAGGAGGGGGCGGCCAGGGATGGGATTGCCCCAGATCAATGGATATTTGAAACTCAAACACATGGCCCTGGACCTACCCTGCACGTGTTAATTACCACACATGTGCCCGTAAAGGAGTTCGTTAAGCACAAGGGGCCCAAAGAACAGAGAGAGGAAAGGACATTCCAAGGGATTAAGTAAACAGTCTGAAGTCCTGACCCTCCTCCCCACTGCAGCACGTGCATCTGGGGAAGATAAGAGTCTCCCCCACCCTTCTTTCCCCACGCCTCCCCTCGGGCTCCACACCTGCGGACCTACAGACTGCAGCAACCCAGGCCTCCCAGCCCGGCCAAACTGCTGTGACCCGCTACCACCCAGCTTCCCCGGCCTCCTCTTCCTGCCTGCCTTCCTCCTGCTATCTCTCCGGGCCTCCTCCCCGGCTCCTTGCACTCTGCCTTTCTCCTCCTGTCCTTCACAGGACTAATTCCTGGCTGGCAACCAGATTCTCTGTTGTCACACAATAGTCTTTTCATTCCTTGCAGGCAGAGAGAACCGATCCCTTCTAGGCCTGTCAGTGAGGCAGATTCAAAAAGGCAGGAAGGTAGGAAAAAAGAAAACTGGGTCTTCTCCTGGTCCTTCAGGCCCTTTCTCACACTGCAGACCTCTAGGCTCACTTCCTTTCCAGCCGTACCCTCAGGCTGCACAGGGCCTGGGCCAGTATGGCTTTGAGGCAGGCCTGAGACGGTAAGCTCAAGCCCCAGGGAGATGCTTTGGGGGCAGCCACGTGCGGGCACAAGCTCAGACAAGGGGCCTTTGTGTCTTCCCACCTGCTGCCCTGCAGAGCACATTCCATTCTTAAGTGGCAGCTGAAAGAGGAACCTTGGCAGGTCAACACAGGATATTACAAATGCCCTCTCTCTCGCACCCTATCCCCATTCAAACTCCAGCTTCCTGGACAGGTGTTACTTCAGGTGGCCCTTCCTACAGGTGGCCTGAACCTGCTTTTCAAGGCCCTGCCCATGACACACAAAGAGAAGATGATTTAGCGCAGAACTCAATCCTCCAAGTAGAGAGAAAGAGAGAGCACAGGGCAGAATTCAGCTCCCCAGGACAGAGTAGTCCTAGTGCATGTATGTATGCATGCATGTACATATGCACATACATGCACACACACACTTTGTCTTGACTTTTGCCCCAGAAAAGCAGCCTCTGAAGGAACTATCTGGGAGGGGAGAATCCGTGTAGAGTAGGAAGCAAATAGCTGGGAGCAGGCAGCAAACTGTCCCTCTGAGCAGGGGCTTCAGGTTCTACCCCTTCCCTGTATCACCCCTGGAGGAGACGGCTCCTCTGCAGTGAACCCTAAGACTAAGAGGGGACAAAAAGGTGCTGTCATTTACCATAAATATCACTGCCAACCCACCTGCCCTCTTCCAACTGGCTCACCCAGAAGGGTTATGGTCTGTCTCTGTTACCCAGAGTACAAAGCCACATCACCCTGGAGAACACAGCTCTGCCCAGCAGATGGCCTTTCCTGGTCCAGATATCTTATTCATCATTACACACTCAGCTCCTTCAGTAGGGAAGACTTGAACGGTAGGTTTTGCACAACTGCATTTTTTTTCTTCCACTAGGACCTTGTGTTCAGAAACAAGGTGGTAAACCTGAAGACCTCAGTTGCAACAAGCAAAACTAAAGCTGTCTCCCACTCCCAAACCCTGCAGAGACATACCACTGGCAGCACTGGTGATTTCAGATCTTGAGACTTACTTTTCTCCCTTCTCCCCGCTTTCCACCTGGAAAGGAGCACACAGGGCTATCTCCCCCTGCTCTGGGAAGGACCTGGAAAGGAGCTTGCACCCTTTTTTCTAACCCACTTCCATACTCCTGCACAGGGAAAAAGGAGCTGCCTCACTGGTCCCATATTTCCCAGTGAGGGGTGGCAGCTTCAGGTGCCACTTCCACATCTTCTCGGAGCACCTGCATTCAGGGCATTGGGTTCTCTGGATTTTTATCTCCTGCATTCAAGACAGGTGGCTTTGCCTCTTCTTCCCATCCCCATGGCATACGCACCTGGGGCAGGGGCCTGGGCCTGACTTGGTCTCCCAGTAACTATGTGCATAGGGCAAGCCTGGGAACTTCTGCTGAGTCTCAGGGGACCCAGCTCTCCAAGCTTCCAAGCATATCATCTCCAAGGTCTAGATGCAAGTTGGAAGCCTTATATCTAGCTACATAGGAGCTCTTCAGTGCTCACACATGCAATGAAATGGATTCTTGCTTTCTAGGTCACTATCGGCTCCCTGTGTATGCTGTCTGGGAAATCAGTAACCATCAATTTTGGGCCTCAAACTGTCTTTGACACTGAGCACTGTGGTCAGCATATCCCAAGGCTATGCCTCGTGCTAGCTCGTCCACTGTACAGCACTCAGACAAATATCAGCTATTGAACTCATAGGGCCCAATGTGAAAGGAAACTGCTAGACCCTTTGTACAAACAGCAGGAAAAACTAAGCACTAAAAATAAAGCATTAAATATGAAGCAGTACCTTTTCTTCCACAGTCTCTCTCTCTTTTGAATTTGGCATGATGGTTTTTAACTTGCTATTTAGTATTGTACCAAGTAAAGAAAAATTAAAACCTCAAGTATGCTGTAGAAATGATTTACTATGCATCACACTGCCTACGTGTGACTGTGGTGACAAGGTTCAGCAACCGAGATTCGTATTGCAGATACCTTCTCTGCTAATGTGCACTGTGTCACTGTTCTCCCAGGTCCAAGACAAAATTATTCAGAATTTCAAGAAAGCAACTGCACAGGTCACATATCCATGACACCAGCCCAGCCCTCAGTGAAGAAGTCTAGAAGTGCTGGAACACATGATTAAGGTGAATCAGTAGGCAAAAAATATATATATATACCCAGACATGTTTTCTAGGTTTATAAACGAGAGCGCTAAGGACGGACATGGACATGCTGTTTTTCATCTTTGGTCTAGCACTGGCCTCACTGGTAGCTGATCAGCTGAGCTCTTGAGGAAGCCGAGGTTCTCAGGGTTCACATAAGGCCCCTCTCAGGCCTGTGCTCCTCTTTTGTTCACTACCCTTGAAAATTTCAGGCACTTGATAGCCACCGCCACATGAGCCTTACCTCCAGTGCTTCTGGGAGGAAACAGGGAATGAGAATGGAGCAGACTTTCTGGAGGCCACTTTCAGCTTTCACCCCAGGCTCCTTCTATCTTGTCTAAGAACTCCTTGGAGGGCAGGCCGGCTTGAGATGCACACATTAAGATAAAGCATAAAACTCCACTCACCTTTCTTTCCAGAGTTAACCTGGCTCGAGGGCTTGTCGGTGACTGAACCTTAGGTGAAAAGGGAAACAAAAACTTAGACATTCAGATGCACTGTGCTTGGTTTCTTTCACAGCAATGGCAAAGCCTGACACTGTGAACATATGTTATATCTAGCGTCATACACGGTGAGTAGGATTTGTTTAACATCAGTGTCACTGATAACTCAGCTTTGTTTTGAGTTGAACTATGATTTCCAAGTTCCCTGGCATTAGTCTTGACCAGATTTTTATGAAAGTCCACATCCATATAACTCCCCTTTCCAATACCTGACTCTTGAATCCACACCCATGTCCCCTACTTCTCACCAATTCTATGTCTGAGCTATATCGAGTCAGTAGAGCGGACTGAAAAGAGACTCTTCTTACTGCAAATACAATGATTGACATCCCTTGCTGGTTAGGGCAGGAAATCGGTGATTTTCCAACTGCATTAAGTAGAAAATTGTTGGTCCAATTGTACTGAATGGCCAAAATAGTCTGAGGCATGGAAACAATTTTCTAGACACGGCCTGTTCCTCAAGGAGGGGTAGCATGTGTGTTTATCCAAACATTTACCCTGCACATACTAGGATGCCACATGTACCCATCCTCCAGGCCTAACCCCATGGCACTTGTCTTTTCCATAAAGTTCAGTTCTACACGTGCAGGGCATAACTACTCATCACAAAAGGGCATCCACGGAGGTCTCACCAGCAGAGAGCAAGAAAGAATCTATGTTTTCCTAATCAGTATCATTCTCTTCTCCAAATACTAGCTTTGTGAGAATTCTGTTATATTGCCCTGCACGGCTTGTTTCTAGTGCCTTTTGTTTGCTTTGAATGAAACTTTCCAGGTCATTTGTAAAGAAGGCTAATTTCTGCCTCTCCCCACTTCAACCCCAATTAAGGTTTCCAGTTTCCATATAAACCACAAATAAAGTCAACTTCCCTTCTAGTAAGCAAATTTTGGTTTCCTAACATATATTTTTACTGCCTTTCCCACTTACTTTTCCCTTTATACAGACAGGCTACCAAAAAAGTGGATCAATTTTGTCAAAAAAAAATTAGGATAGTAAGACTGCTACCCTTTGGAATTTCCCATAGAGTTTCACGTAATTTTTATACTTTTTGCACATAAAATTAAAAATAATAAAACCACCTATACACACAGGAAATACAAAGCAACTGATGGGTAAGATAGGTTTTTTTTTTTTTTGAAAGTGCTGAACTACATGGTGAATTTAAGAGAGTGGCTCCTAAATTCCTTACAAATGAATGGAAATGGACAGCACAGAGCTTATATAAATCCATAATCCATAATCCCATGAAACTGATCTAATAGCAGAATTCCACTATGTCTATAAAGTTGGTAATGACTTAATTTTGCTATAGACTAACGCAACAGGTCACCATCATGAAGTAGTTTCAGAACCACAGGAAAAGCTTTGTAAAAATAAGGTCTGCAAGGATCACTCCAAACCTACTGAATCAGAATGTATAAGAAGAAGCCTTGGCATCTGGGTTCTTTTTAATTCCCCAGGTACTTCTGAGGATCAGCCAGATTTAAGGGCCACTGATAGGAAAATTTTCCATTATTGTACTTCTATTATAGAGGCCACCACTGTCCTCTTCAGCACATGTGACAGTCATCACTACTTGATCACTGTAGTCTTTGATGTGGTACTTCCATGCAGTCTCAAAGTCCATTCCAATACACTTCAACAGCAATCAATAGGCATACAAGTTACAAATTTAAATGCCATCCAGCTCTAGGGGTTTTAGTCAATGCTTAGGAAGACAGCATTGAACCAGAAACCTAAACTCAAAATGATAAACATATACATATAGGCATATATTAACTCTCCTCATTTAGCTGACTATTGAGCAGGGAAAGACCTCATAGCCACCACCAACCTTTCAAAGGTTTTCCCACCAGGTGCAGGAGACCCACCAAGGGGGTCTCTCTCCAACCCCTTTCGTGCTTCCCGCCCCTCCCTACGGTACCTGAACATACAGGAGTTTTGTTCTGCACAGAAGAACCACTGATAGGCTTCCCGTCTGGGGTGACACACCAGCAGTACCCTGTGAAGGTATGGCACTGCACCTGTTCAGAGAAGTGAGAAAGGAAAAAAACATAAGTCTTGGGTCATGATATCAAGAGTCATCTCTTACACCTTTTCAAGTATTGCTCCCACCTCCCACCCCACCTCTTGCTTCAGAGTGACTCACAGGTTGACCAGTTAGCCAACAGCATCAACATTTGCTGTATGACCCACATACATGCACAACTGCAAATTATTTGCTTTCTTTGACTCCAAAAACTTTAATATCTGATATCATGCTGAGATACATCCACATTTCCCTGTGTTGGGTCTCCCAATATTGGGACTTCCATCCAACTGTAAAAGGTGAACTAATTTGGCATGTACAACTTGGAAGGTCACTACTGGGGGTTGATATGACACTTCTTTAACTAGTAAAGGTAAGCAATAAGGTTTTTTTGTTCTTGACCTTGAGTGCCATGCAAATTAGTTTAATTAGGCATTCACTCTTAGATCAGCCTGTCTATAACCACATGGCTCTCCTGAAATAAGAGCACCAATCATGAAGTTAAGGCAAGGTCAAAGGCTCTATTTCTCGAGGCCCAGCTATACCACTAGGTGATGTTCTTCAAGTCTGCATGGAATCAGGTCCACTGGCCTGAGAACAGTCAAGGAAAAAAAGGTTTTTTGTGTCCTTCCTTCAAGGTGACTCTTCTCTTCTCTTTCAATAGCTGTCACTTTGCCTACCTCCTGCCCTGGACTCCACTGTCCTCTTCCCATTGTTTTCTCTGTGGTTTTCCTAAACTCACAGTAAGGCAGATCCCTTTGCTTTAAAACCCTTCAGCATTCACCTTTGGACTTCAGATGGAGATTAAACTAATTTGCATGGCACTCAAGGTCAAGATCCATCCCCCATTCCTGCAGTATCATTTTACACCCATGGCACTATGCAAGCCCTCCACTCTGGCCACAATGAACTCTTTGATGTTCCCAAACACACCCTAGTTTCTCCTGACTCTGAATCTTTATTTGCTCCAGCTGCTATTCAACTTGTCTTGGACACCATTCTCTAACCTGTTCCCAACACTCTCCGAATCCCCCCACATCCCATCCTCCTTTATCATCTACCTTCTCCTCTCTCTTAGCCTAACCTCCCCCTTCCCCTGATCCCTCTCCAGTTCAGAACCTCTAGCACAATGAGCTCTAGCTATGGATTTGGCTGGTCCATCTCTCTGCATTAGACCTCAAGGACTGCATAATAGCTATTTCTACATTCCCAGCATAGAGCATTAACACCTGACATTTTATTGTAGGTGATTGATGGGTTGCATACAGGCATGAGTTCTCATGTTTCTTCAATTCTTGGTCTCCATCAATTCTAAAAATGCAACATCAATTTACACAGCTGCATCACATTAAACATAGATCTCAATGACAAGATGTGTGCCAATTGCAAAGATATTAAAGTGTGAAAAAAAAAGCATGCCTCTTGGGACCAAAGACATATTGAAACTGATATCAGACAGTAATTGCATACAAATTGAGTAGGGAGGTATAGAAGGAGACAGACTGAAAAGGGCAATCAAACAGGCTGGGTGAGACCCAGAAGTTACCACTGTGGTAGAAAATCTACAGAAAGCCTTTTGCTCTTGCTTAAGTAGCAAACACTATGATTTCTGCCCTAGACAAATGGTTGCACCACAAGTCTATCCACAGAAATCAGGGAAAGACAAGATAGAGGGCCCTTTGCTCTGACTCATAAGATGACTCTGTCTAAATGAGCTCCTCACCTCTACAATTTCTGCAAGGAGGTGGTACTCAATGCCCACCCCCCAGAACTGTGTTCTACTCCCACTTCATCTCATGGTCATAGCTGATACTCCCTGGCAACAGGTGGTACCCCACAGCCATGGCCACTCACCAAAATCAATAGCTCAGGTTGCGCTGTACCACTTTCTAAAGAGGTCTAACTGTGAACTGGAAAGAAATTCAGAGGCTAGGGTTTAACCTTGATCTAGCCAATTAGAAGCCCAGCATGTACTGAGGGTAGGCTGATGGTAAACAACTTGTCATGGGGGAAATTATGGTGTTTGGTAGCAATGTCCAGCCTGGAGGATCTAGTGAGGAGGTCCACTGCATCATAGGTGATGAAGGCCAGGTAGAGTGAGTGGCTGTGCCCAGACTGATATCTGCTCTTGGCTGTGTCCGAAACACCTGACCATGTGGCTCCTAGTAGGCCAAGGCTCTTCTAGTAACTCTGAAGGAATGGGTGGGAAACCCTTCTGGAAACCTCATGCTGACCCCTTCAGATTCCCTGGGTCTTGCAGGGGATATTTCCTAGACAAGTCCCAGCCAGGGACAGCATTTTAATGGGACCTGGCTGGCTGCTTTCTCCTCACTGACCAATAATCACCTCTGGGGACTTGGCCCAGAGTCTGGGTGGCCGTGCTGACTCACTCCCAGGCTCTTTGGTATCCAAGGTCAAGGCAGGCCTCCCTCTGTACAAGGTTTGTGCCTCGAGTTAGCACTCAGGGCTGTGCCTCTGCCCAGCCCTGCACGGATGATGCTTGGATGATGTTCGGCACTGTGATCAGGCAGATCACAGAACACTGGCTGATGTGAAGCCTCTCCCATGGAGCATGCGCAGAGTTCCAACTAAGGTTACTGGGGACAGAACTAAATTTGTAAAGAAAAGGCCAAGTCCAGAGCTTTGTTTCAGGGGATATGATCTGGACCTCTGGGATCAGTGGGTGCCAGGGGCCACTTTCTCCCTGAGTGGGCCCATTGTGCCCCCTACAGGGACAGGAACGCTGCCTCCTAGACCCCAGCCAGGCCCACAGCCCCCAAACACAGCTCCTTTCTCCCCAGGACCCTCAGCAATTTCCTCATCTACCCTCCTAGGAAAAGACCCCAGATTACAAAGTCTTCAGGCTGGGAGCTCCTCCCAAATTCTGTGAAATTGAAGCAGAACGAGGAACTGCTGTCTTATTCCTCGAGGCCCAGGATCCACAACAGTAGCACACCTGACCCAGATGTGCCGCAGGGGAGGGAGTGAAGGGGTGGCTGGAGGCAAATGAAGTCACAGAGACCCCAGCAGACCTCAGAGTGCAGAAGCAACCAAGAAAAACCCAATTCCTAAAGTGCCTATCAAAGACTCAGCCTTTGCTTTTAAATAGAGGGATTAGACTTTCTGTTTTCATTTCAGGTTGGCTGGTTGATTGTTTGGGTTTTTTTTTGAGACAACATCTCACCCAGTACCACAGGCTGTTCTCAGACTCACAGCAATCCTCCTGCCTCAGCCCCCTGTGTACTGGTATTACAGATACGCACTGCTAGGGTTATTTCCACCGCAGCAACCTCAGTTCGAATCCGAGTCACGGCACCAAATGCTAGGGTTATTTCCAAAAGATGAAAAATATTAACAAAAGATGAGAAATATAAAATAAAAAGCAGCCTTTATTCTGAGAACACGGAGAGAGATGACCAGCACCCTCACCGCTGGCGTCCAGCGATCTCTCCGGTGGACACTTGGCATGGGGGCCTGTACATAGCCTCAGTTTGGGGTGGAACCTAAGGCGGGCATTAGGGATACACAGGTAGCCCATTGGTCCTAGGTTTGGCGCCATATGTAAATTTCCAGGGGCGGGAAGATGGCGTCACAGGTAACTTCCTAGGGGCAGGGGAGATGGGGCTTCCTGCTTCCGGTTGTGGGTTTCCTGGCTACAGTGTCCTATCTGGGCCAAAACCCTTTCATGCACCACCACACCCAGCTAAGAGGTTGTTTTTTAAATTGTCCCAGGGAGTTTTCAAGCTGTCTTCTTGCAGAGAACTGACTTGGAGACAGACTGCAGCTTCAGAAATTTTCTTCATCAGACTAAGCCTGGGACTCTGCATTTATTTTAAAAAAGGAAGACAAGGATGAATACAAAGATGATAATGATGAAGAGGATGATAACAGTAAATATTCCAGTTGTTGAGAAAGTGAAATTAGATAGTGTAAATAAAGCATTTAGCTCATAGGGTAAGTTCCCAGTTAATTCTAGTTATTTATTTTCATTATCATCATGTTATTTTTTTAGCAAACTAACTGTACACTCAAAAAGGTCAGAGCCACATTATCTGATAGAAACAAAAGAACATCCTATTCTGACTAGAAAAGAGCAGTCTGCAATGAGAAAAATGTTTGAAAGTTTGGGTGGAGAAAGAAGTTTGTTTTATTTAGGAATAGAAGTATTATTCTCAGAGAAGAGAGGCAAGGCTTCTTGAAGAAAAGCAAAGTCGACATCCTACAGAGTTGATGCATAATCAAAATGTAAATTCTTCCTGCTTTATCCTTCTCCTATACAAAACTGATTCTCTTAAATTAATAAGTAATGCCCTCTGTGCCCCTAGAGCCTCAAATTAATCAATTCTTGGCATTAACCTACAGAAAAAGCTTGTGTCATGAGATACTGCTGAGGCCATTTCTAATACTGGGCTGTGCAGTTCTCAAAACTCAGTGTTGTTCCAGCCTCAGAGGTACAAATTAAGGATCTGGTTCCCTATCCCACACTGGAGCATCCTAGCAAGACTAAAGTGTCAAATGACAGATCTTACTTTAGAGACATTAAGTGTTTGTACATCAACCAACTGAAAAGTGAGGTTGCCCTCAGCTTACATTATAACTATCCTGTTGGATATAACTGATGTTCCTAAGGGTACTTTAAAACAGTTTGTTCTCAGATAAGAAAGTTTCATCTGTGACTCACATACTTGAACACTGTTGGCAAGAGGCCCTTTCCATAAACAGCCCCCTTGTATATTGCAGTCCAACCACTGTCCAACTTAAGATAAATTTAAAATCATTTAAGTCTGCTAATCTCCAACATTAGCTCAATTACTGGCCACCTAGGAGAATGTGGAAGACCAGCATCCCAACAAAGGTGGACAAGTGACCAGTGAGCAAAGAGGCAGAAAACACACCAGCAAGAAGAGACAAACATTGGAGAATATCAAGAAAAACAGAGGGGCAGAGAGGTTGCATATACAGTCCTACAGGTCTCCATCACCCATGGATGCCATG